AGTTTTACCAAAAATATACACTCCCTGGAGCTCTTGGCCCTTAATGCGTGCAGGAAAGGACGAAGTCAGGTGACCTTCATTGTCATGGTAACAATAATAAACATGTGTTTAAACTTAAAATGGTCGCAGTTCGGTTAGGTTTAGGTATCAAAGCTATTTGGTTAGGTTTAGGAAGAGATCATGGTGTTGGTTAAGATAAGTACGTTAGTTAGTTGACTTGTAATGGGGTGAGCGGTGCCTCATTACCCTATGTAACTTACTGCAGTCGTCACACATCACCAACTTTGTCACTGGTTTTGGTGAAACTGGATCATATGTTATGTAGAACATTTTTTCTAGTTTTCCCCTATCAAGAGAAAATGAAAGCGAAGCCGCTGGACAAGAATCAATCTCAGAGCTTCGTGAAATAAAAGGTTGCAGACAGATAGTGAACTGGCCTTCTTGCTGTTGGACTAGTGAGTAATATTAGCTCCTGCTGTTGTTGCATTTGCTTGATGTTTGGCTGCGGTAGCAAAATTGTCAACTCGCTACTTTTTTATCATAAGTGATGTAATGATAACAAATTATACAGCTGTTCATATTTACCACAGTGGTTTTGCACTCTGAAACTGAGGGCCGAATCACAGGAAATACAAAATCTTACGTAGTGTTTCTTTATGGGATTCCAACCTGCAGCCCTTTGTTGCATGTCGCCCCCTTCTCCCCCCCTTTCACCTGTCCTATCAAAATAAAGGCAAAAAAAGTAAAAGAAATCTTTTAAAAAAAAAATACAAAAATTACAGTTTCCCTATAAACTGTGGAGGTTTTGTCTGCTATTTATATTTTGTTCATGAGGACGCAAGTGACACAATACGCATTTATGCTGATGGTTTGGCACTATTCAACTGTTCAACAGATAGTGGCAATGTACAAGCACAGTGTCGATATGCCAGCAAATAGCAGGGAATAAGAAGCCACACTAAATATAGATTTAAACAGCGCAGGTTTAATTTATTTTTTAAAGTCAGCTTTGCAGATATTTTATGAGGAAAGAAATACATTCAACATGTTTGTTATGCCTCAAGGATACACACAGTGTATTTTCTGTGAGGAACAGTTAATGTAAACACAACTTTTCTGTTTAGCAGAAAACCCCACAGGAACGAAGTAAGTAAGTAGTTCAAGTGACACAGTTTCACTATTTAAGTGTCTGTACCTGTTTAAGCAGTGAGCCAATTGTCATGTAAAAAATGATCACTGATTTTTGATGCAGCTCTCCGTGTAAGTATCCGTATTTATGTGCACTGCCTACAGCTCTACCAGAGACTATTTTCATATTCATAATCTTTGACTGTGTCTTAAATATTTTACAAGTTTCCTGTAGAAAAAGGCCAGACACATGAATCATTACCTACACTTACATACCTGGTACAAGGTAATTACAGCCATGAGTAACATGCTAACCCTTCAACCCGAAAATCTGCTGATGCAGTGAAATGATTCAGCCACTGGGATTGCACTTACAGAATCTGATCTCTCAAACTTAATGTGCTCCAATGGGACACAGGCAGACACACACGAGTGCAAACACACACACACATGCACACACATATTTTAAGAGATGAATAACATAGAAAAATAGACAGAGGCGTACTGACAGTGACAGAGAGACAGACCAAGAGGAAACTGATTACAGTAAGTACCAACCCCCACCATTACAGAGGATACTTGAAGATAATAATGTGGCCATGAGCCAAAGACTACACACACACACAGTTCAACAAAAGGGAGGCACCCGTCCACCTCCTGCCTCCCCTCCTAGCCCCGCCCTTATGTCAAATCCATACAAGGCCTGTCCCCCAGACGCCCACGATCCCTGGCTCCTTCATCCATCCAGTCTAGTCAGCCTGACAAACTAATGGAGACTAATCAACTGTCAGGACAAACACGCCGCACACTACATCTCCCAGCTTCCCGTACCACCCCCCCTCCTCCACTCCAGCACCCTCCCACCGCCGCCACCAAACTCCCCTCCCACCATCATTTCAGCTATAACTGTCATGTGCAGAAATAACAGAGCGATGGCTATATATAGAAGTCTGACTCCTATAGTGCACACAGATACACACAAAGAATCTTCCCAGAGCACATTAATTTCCCATTTTGCTCACCTTAACCTTTAATGACCTCCATTACATATTTAACCCTAATCTAATCCTAATTCTACACCTAATCTTAAATTTACCATGACCTTAACCCCCAGTGTTGAACCCAACAGCTATCGGCTACTCAAAAAGTCTGTAGAAGTTGGCAGATGACATTACACGCTACTTTGTAAATCAATATATTCGACACCTTTCTCCTACTGGCAGAAGGACAGAACTCAGCGTTTACAAGAAGTGTAATAATTTAATTCTAATCAGTGTAACCACAATACTTTTGATTACTGAAACTGTAATTTAAACACATTAACCAAGCTATCTTACTAATAGTCTAATAATGTAGCTGGATTACTCTTTCAAATGACTCTGGTATCGATTTGCTTTTGTCTGGTCTCTCTTTCTTTGTTTTGGTGCTGTGTGCAAATTGCAAAATGTCATGGGAAGGAAGTGGAAGCAAACTTGTGTCTGAAAAATGTGTGGTATACTTAACGGTGAGAGAGGAGGAAGGGGTTTTACTTTTTTTGTGGGGGATTAGCAAAATAGTTTTCCTCTTGCAACAAACAGCCTCAGGAATATTGGTTGTGTTAAGGTGCTTTGTGAATTCATTAGTATGTCATAATTAATCTGAATATTCAAAGTAAACAACCTATTTTGTTAAATCACCCTGCCGTTATTGGGGAAAGGCGTCTATTTGGGACAGCCGTGTCCTTTAGCACAACACTCTTGCTCAGCAAAGATGGGAAATACTATCTAACTGTTCTTCTCCTGAGTTTTGTTAAGCAAAAATTTGACAACTAACAGCTTGAAACAAACTGACTGTGTCTCATCAGGTAACATGTCATATATGTGTACGGCATGCAGCCATGCTAATTTGCAGTTGTGGTCTCAAAAATGCTTACATTTACATTTACATTTTTAAAGCCACAATAACTGATTTTTTTGGGACTTGGGGGCAGCAGAAACAAGTTGTCAACACAACACTGACACCCTTTCAGTTGTTATCCAGCAGTATTGTTATTCATTTGGATAGTTGTGTTTCTGGCCACCTGGTGAATGTAAGTCCAATATTCACCTTCTTTCAGCTCTGTTTTTGTTCACTACCAACTCCTGAGGGAAATATCTCTTTAGATGCTGAACTATGTTTGTCAGACGTTCAGTGCTGGGCAGGTGTAAAGTGGGTTTTTAGACCTTTATCAGTGGAATCAGCAGGAAATGATGCTATGAAAGCAGTAAGAGTGAACCCAATGGTAAAACTGTGGACTGGACATCTAAAAAGTTAGCTAAACCCCCTATGAAGCTCTGTAATACAGATTTGGGAAAAAAGTATCTGTAGGTTTATTACCACGAGTGACCCCTTTCACATTGTCACGTTGTTTTTACAATATTTAATGTTGCCAATAACTGTTTATGCCAATGTTTATGAATTAATTGATCGTAAACTGGCTTAGTTTAACTCTACCCTGTCCTTATTTAACTTGTCCTAACCTCGTATAACTTGACTTAACCTAATCTAATATCTAAATGTAGTCTAATCTAAACAAACCTTACCTAACTGATCTAAATGTACAAGTTTACCTTAAACCCAGCATGCTTTGGGCAAATAATCTGCCTTTATTGGAAAATTGGGTCCTTTTAAGTTAAGAACACAACAACACAAACACACATTAAGACTCGGCCATACACATGAACATATACAAAGAATCCCCCGCGCAGTTATTTCTTGTCTTGGCATCTCAGGAAGCAACACCCACCTTCCATCTCATAAACACCTCAGATTGAGGAGAGGAAGGAGAGGAGGGGGATCTACCGGCCTTTTCTGTGTGTGTGTATGTGCTTGTGTGTTTGAAAAGGAAACTGATTCATTTCCATAGTTTCATCCATAGCACAGGGAGCCTCAGATTCTGTCTGACTGTTAGATCTACATAGTTAACTTGTTTACATGTTTACAGCTCACCAGGCAGGTCGGAATGCACTAACTCATCAACTGAAATATACTGAAACTAGCAGAAACATAGTTTTGTGAGGTTCAAACCTGTGACCTTAAACAAAACAGTCCCTCTACCCAGCAGGCCACCCTTTACTTTGTTTGCATCCCCTACTAGCGAGTTGGACTCGGTGCCATACATAATTGATGGCCACCAGCAGGATGTTTGGCGTAGATTGGGCTGGAAAATTCTATATCATTAGCACAACGTGAAAGCATGACTGACTAATTGTCAGAAAAGAAATTACAACAGAGGCTGCTATACAGGGAGCAGGCGCTAATTAACACTCCATCATTACAAGAAAATCCTGATGAAAATTACAGCCAGTGTGCTGTTATTCCATATACATGAGTGATAGATTTCTTCTGCATCGGGATCTTCAATGTTTTCCTACTGGGGATATACAGGTATAATCGCATTTTCTGGGGGGGCGAGTAGACAGATTAATCACACTGGGGGTGGCATTATTCAGGAAAATACTGCGCACAGCACAGAGTTGTAAATTGCAGCGCAGATCAGCCTCTTGCAAAACTTGTGAGGCATACTGCCGTCTTATCATGCAGAGGTGTGATGCAGTAAAATGCCAAAGGCCTTGAGCTATTCATATAATTTCAACTGTGCATGTGGAATGGGCAATCATTTAGGTTTTTACGACCGTGCAGCATAAAATGACTATAACATATTCACAGAAAGGCGGCTGTGGGCATTGCTGATCAATAACAACTATTGCTGTGCCAAGATTTCTGGCAAATATAGCTCAACATGGTGAGGAATAAAATCTCCTACCATAATTAAAAGGATTGTGTGTTATATACATATATAAACATGTAAAAGTAGATTTCCTGCAGGCTGACAATAAAAAAACATGTCTTACCATCTTTGCCGATGAGGAAATCCAGGTAGCGGTAGGTGTAGGCCACACCCACTTTGGTTTCCACCTGTGGTCTCTTCAAGGTGGAGTAAATCTTCCCTGGACTGCTCTCCTCCGACATTGGCTTCATCTTACGCAGCCCGCAGCCCATGGCTCCACAGTGTGTCTGTCTCTCTGTGCACGGACCCTGCCAACCAGAAAAAACAGACTGAGACAGTGTTTCATTGTCACTTGTGTGCCTGTGTGTAGCCAGCGAGTAAATGAGTGAGTTACTAAGTGCACATGGGTTAGTGTGTGTGATGAATGAAATAAATGAAAGCCATTAGATGCCTGGAATTGTAGGGAAAGTGCATTAACATTTTTAAAACACAGTTGCATGGTTTGCAGAATGATTAGCTGTGATATGTGGTTAAAGGGGAAAATACAGAACAGACCACTCTGGTCCTTTAAGTGGGTAGCTAACATTAAGTATAAATTAAGTATACTTAAGTAGTGAGTATGTGAGCAAAAAATCTACTTAAGCATCAAAAGGAAACATACTCATCAAGTAGAATGCCCCTAGAATGTTTATTATTATGTATATTAATGAAATCTTATTAATGGTTAATTCATCATTCAATCAGCATCATATAACTGTCAAAGTAAATAGGAATTATAGGTGTCAACTAAATATAGTGAAGTAAAACGTACAATAGAAGTATAATACATCTACAAAATAATACAAAATGGAAAACCTCACATAAAGTACAAGTACCTCAAAACTGTACTTAGTACAGTATTTGAGTAAACAGCCTTATTTGCTGTACTTTCTCCCACTGAAGAGGACTGATTAAGGGCCAGATTAACCTTTCTGTGACATACTGTGCATACACAGACATTTATACTACACACATATGAAAGCAAACATTCGTGCACCCAGATATCAATGATTCCCTCAGGGATTTCAGAAGGAAAACCAATAAAGAAGAACATGCTGGATAAGCGTCTGTAAATAAATAAATAAACGAAAAGATTAAATGAGCTTGATTTTTCATGGGTTCCCTCTCCCTCGTTCCCAGGGAGACCAAATTAACAGAGACAACCGTGGAGAAAGAGGAGGCCTTAAAGAGCCGCCTCACCCCAAATGGTTTGTGACAGCATCGCTGCCTCTCTCCGGCGGCTGCGTCTGGGAGCAGGTGACATCCTATTGTGTGCCACTGATTAAACTCAAGGATGGATGGATGGATGGATGGATAGATGGCAGTGGTGCCCTCCCCTCCTCTTCCACCTGGGCTGATGAGGAACCCTCTCTATTATGCTCCTTTCTAATTACAGAACGTAACGCCTTGGCCGGAGACTACAAATTCAAGCCGGTCGTCGCTTCAGAGACGACAGGACAGGAAGTGGGGAGGGGCGGGGGTGTGGGATGTAGGAAGGAGTGGGAGGCGAAATAGGAAACGAGCAGACGGGGGCTCCGTTAATGAGGTGAACGGCAAGAATGGAAAAGGTGAGACTCAATCAAGGGAGAAAGAGGAAATGGGGGTAGCCGGGTTGGCGATTGTTCGTCAGAAAAGGGGTGCGGGGGGAGGGTGGTGGGTAATGCATGGCAAGTAGAGTCTGGAGAGAAGAAGAGTGTGCAATTAGAGTCTGTTGAATATAAAAGGGGAGATCAACACACAACGAGGGAGAAGGTAGAGAGAAAGAGTGAGAGATGAGGCAGGAGATTCATTACGGTTGTCATGAAATCCGGTGTTTGCATTGGCACTTACATGAAAGTCTTTGTTGGGCTTTATGAACCTCAACGTGCATCACAATCATATCTCAGCCAGCCTCAGTACGGCTCCCTGAAATGGACGGCGGGCTGATGGACTTGTGATTAATACCAGAACACAGTGTTTCCTGCATGCTGCACGCCTCTCGGTTTGTGCGTTTAAAACTTCAGAAGCCTTCTAAATGGTTTGTACGTGTTTGAGATGTACTGAGGAGTTGTGTCTTTGCCTCTCAGCACATGCCAGAAGGACTGATGTCTTGCTTCAAGAACAAAAAAGCTAAACACAATCTGCAGAAGCTGGCGTAGTCAAAGTCCCTAAAAGCGCTTCAGTCCCCCCTTAAATTGTCACTCAGGACTGCTCTGCACTGCGCTGCAGTTCACCACGCAGCATCACAAATGGCTCTGCCATCAAAGAAAACAGGGTATAAAAAAAAGAAGCCTGAATTTTTCCAAGTCTAAGATTTCGCTGTTGCCTACAGTTACTTGTAAATAGCTTTTATCATTTCTCCCCCTACCCTGGAGAGAGTAGGAACAACAAGAGAGAAGGCGAGGCTCTGTCATGTAGTCTACAAGAGATGGAGAAGAGGTATTCAGAACAATGAGATGGGGGGCTTTGAGGGAGGGGGTGTGGAAGGAAAACAAAGTGGAAGAGGAAAAAAATGGAGGGGCTTGTATTTGCATAGCTCCTTGAGACTGGGGAGGAGGCGATGTGAGGCGAAGGCGAACTGGAGTATTTTTAGAGCTGAACTGACAGAGGAAATGTGAGATGTTTATGATTTTTTGAGTCGCTGTTTCTTGTCTCAAACCTTTCCTCTGAGGCGGGAGCTCCGGGCAGTTGCAGCCCCTACATGCCCCTCCTCAGCTCCTGTACATCCCTGTTTTTTTCGGAGATTGACAGGCGGGAAGTCGGGGATGCTTTACAGGGTAGACAGACGCTGGGTAGCTACAGAAAAACGGGAAGAGGGCCATTGATTTCCCTTTTGCTGAATTAGCAACGATCCTCTTGCCATTTTGTTCTATCTTTTGTCTCTGGCTAATGGCATTTTGAGGTTTTATTCGATAAGAGGTTTTATTCGATAAGATTCCCTTCTCATAAGCCGAGATTGACGTTCAGATGCTTTTGTTGTCGCTGGGATGCACTTAGCTTTGGCCCTAACAACCAAAACATCACACAGCACTTTGTATTGTGCTGAATGTGAAAGGCAACATCGGGGAGGTCTTTCACTGCCATGTTTTGTATCTGTCAATCAAAAACAGTTTGTCAGTCTGAGGTTTGCTTTGTTTTCTGTGCTCATATTGGTCACTTGGGTCATTGTTTGTTGCATCTTTGGGGATTAAGTATGTTATTAAAGCTGAAATCATTGATTTTGGGGCAGAAGACCTCTGCTACAAGCTGAGAATCACAAAGCCCTGGTATAGAAAGTTGTCATTGCGAACCTGTTGCTTATTTACACATCCAGAAGACATGGAGAAACATTAGCAATCACTTAAAGCTGTTCTTAAATTTCAATTTAATAGTCACTCTCCTTTTTGCTCTGTTAAGTCTCCAAAATATAAGTTGCCGTTTAGATACTTAATGCTCCAGTATCTTTATTAGCAGGCTGCTAACTTTTTTGTTTTTGGTGCCAGGCAGGTAGCGTACAGTGGATTTATTTATGGAGTCAATCAACACCTAAGGAAAATACTGGTCTAAGTGCTACAGCTAGTCACAGTTTGGCGCTCAGCAGGCAGTAAAAAATTATCAGTGCTTTTTGAGGTGAAAGCGTAATTTTCATGGCATTAAACCAAAACAGTGATCTAAAAGAGCTGCAGACTTTGTGGATTTGTCACTACCTAGCTTTCTCATTATGTAGCCATTTGACGTTCATTTAAAACACTGAGTAGTGGAGCTTAAAATTGCGCTGTTGCTCTAATGAGGAATTTGAACTTTATAGTTGTGCCTTTTACATCAGTGTAGAACATGGCATACAAAAAATCCCAACTGCACTTACAGCCATCACAGCAACAAGAAGCAACTGCAGGAAGGAAATAATTTTCCTTCATGCTGTCTGACTGAGATCTTCCCCATATTACAAGACCGTGTTACAAGGCTTTGATAGCAACGTTGCGGAGATCAAACCCAGCAGCATGGGAAGCTTCAGAGTGGATTAATGGAGGAAGACATTAATTAGGACACTGTGTTCTTGTGTTCTTCTCCATGTAGTCTCCCTTTTAAGCCTGCTCTCTCCCTCTCTTGTGCTCTCATGCTTTATCTCCCTCACCCTCTTTTCCTTTTTCCGACTTTTGATCTTTTTAATCTGACAAGTAAAGTGGAGCACTGGGCTGCATTTGGTGGTGGCTACTGCTGGTCTGATATCATCCGTAGTTTATTGTGAGGAGTAGACTCAAGGGCTCTCCAAGGAAAAGTGGTTAGAGACCATCATGTAAATGAGAGGACAAGACTGACGTCACAGGAAAAACAACAGCAGTGGTTTTAGGGTTGAAATTCTTCAAATGACCCATGTTTACTACCTCCATGGGTCGTGTCGTCCTAAAAAAATAACGGAATTAAAATGGAAATCCAGAACAAAGGCTGAAGTAACATATACTGCTGCAAGAAAAGGAATGGGTCTATTGACCTAAGGAATTGCTCCAGCTCCTTCAATTTGTCTCACAACTTCCCGTCTACACCAGAAGTGGGAATGTGTTGCGTTGTGTCGACTGCTTGTGGTCACCTGGAACCTACATTTTAGCTAACATCTGACCAATTTTATATCATAATGTACAGCATGAAGGATGGACAGAGCAGACATTATTACTGGCAACAAATTATTCCTAATTATTATATTCTCAAATTATAAATAATTAATATATATATTATTTGTTATGTATATATATTTCATAACAGCGGAAAAAACTAGACTACCAATGTGAAAATAATCTGATCCTTTCTGAAGGATGTAAAAATAACATTAATAACTTAATAACAGGCATCGTCATATTAATAAATTAGCATTAGACTATTTAACATAGCCAGCAAAGGCAACCTGAGTTCAAGAGACAAAACCAGAAATGAAACAAATGACAAAAAATGTGTGAGTTGCATAAGATCAATAAAGCCTGTAATGTAAACACAGGAGACTGTGTTTCAGATTCTGTCTCCTACCAACAGATAATGTTGTTTTCTTTTGTATTCATGAAAACAATCTTTCTCTAACCTATATGGACCCACGTCTGGTAATCAAATTCCAGACAATCACAGCAACACATGCTGCATTTTTCTAACCTGTATGTGTTCATCTTCTCTGATGAGTTTGTGAGTAACTTGACCTCATATATCGTATAAATAGTGACAAACATATTAGAACAGAGCAGAAATGGGACAAGAGAGAGAGAGGCAATTTGTTTAAAACTTCAGAAGCCTTAGTAGTAGAACAAACACTCAACAGAATTCTGTTTTAAAACCTTTTTACTTTCTGGTGTTTCAGGGGAAATCTCCACCGCTCACGTGTTGACATACATAGGTGTTACCATGGTTACCAAATTACCGTGCGTAAATATAGGCTATATATCTCTTGTAGACTATAGATCATAAGATTGCTTTGTTAACAGTTCACCAGCAGCAGATAGAACAGCATTGCATTTGAATGCTTTGCTAAAATCATATATCTGCTGTCATAAAATCCTGTGGTTGGCTTTGCTTTCACACCATAAACAAACCGTGCCAGAGTTTGAAAAATAACTTTCCCACCAGCTTGAATGAACCAAACTACACTGGGAAAGACACCAGAGCTTGACTGGACTGAACTAAACGGGTTAGGTGTTAAAGCATCAGTTGACCTTAACTGAAAGAAATGGTCACAGGACACACAGCGGATGTGTCCAATAGCCTTATGTTTGGTCATAATTTCCTTTGAAGCCTCTAAGCTTCATTCTCATCCACTGCTACTTCAGCTCACAGCGCCAGCTGAAAATGTTAACACACTCAATGTGGAAATCCCCTACTCTCCCCCTTTCTTCTTTCCTTTCGCCCTTACCACCTTGATTCCACACCTAAGTGGAACAGAAAGGATGGAAAAAGAGCGACCCGAGAGAGAGAAAAAAACAATGGACACTCAGGCAGGATGTTAATGCTATAACCTTTAGTGATTATACAGTCCTTTTAAGACAGTGATCTACAGTGTGTAGCTACATGTACTGTACCTGCCATTTACAGGACCCTTATTCTAACTGATTTAAAGATATAATCCACCATAAACTGGTTTGAATATAATACTGTCTGCCTGTGGGCTTGAAAGGTTTGTTGGTCCCATACACAGTCACTGGTACAGTTAGCTGTTTACCTACGCTACACCGACTTCCACTTCTTGTGAGTGTCAGACATAAAAAGCTAGCTATCGGCAAACATTACGTCTTACACGCTACATCTGTCCGTCTTCCAGAGAGAACTGCAAACTTTCCAGATCCACCATTTAACATGCAGGGGTAAGAATTCAAATCTGATGGGGTTCTATAATAAACAAACTTGGGCTTCCCTGTGCTTGCAGATTATGGTGGACAGAGAGACACATGCAGAACAGTACCACCATTGTTTACCACCAGGACAAAATTGCATCACTTTCTTTTTTGTACTACAATTTCATGCTAATATCCAGTATGCTATAAATCAGAGTCTAAAGAAAGTTTTGTTACATCCTCTAGGAATTGCACACAGGGAAATAAATTTAAATCATAATTTACTGTAAAAAGGTCTCGAAGGACACAAAGCTTATAAAGTATTGTGAGTGAATACATGAGAAGCCTCCGAAACACTTTTACATTGAAGACGCTACAGAAAAACTTAAACACAGACATCTCCCGATTTAAACCCTTACGCACTCTCCACAAGGAGGCCATGGATGCCGAAGGTGGAATTGCTTTTTCAACTCACTGAATTTGTTATATTTGCTTTGAATGCTCAAGGACGATACATAAAGGCAAGCACGCAGAAGGAAAAAAATGGAAGATGAGGGGTGATGAGTGAGGTGGAGAGAACAGGCGAGTAAACAGTAGTGTCTGTCTGAGATTCTTCGCCGTTTCAAGGCTTTCGGGTTGCTCCTCGGTTTGCCACGGCCTCGGCCAACCTCATACAGTCTCAAGGCCCGGTTACAGACCGTCCACGCACACACAAATACACATACACGCATCAAGGGAGCTATTGCCATGGGAACCAACCCCTCTATGACTATTCCCTGCTCAGGAGAATAATAGGCACCAATCTTTCTCAACCTCTCTCTCTTTCATTGTCAGTTTCTCTCTTTCTTCTCTTTTTCTAGTCGCTATAAGCTCTCGCCGCTCTTCATCACAAGGATTGCCCCCCTCTTTCCTCTCCTCCAAATGCAGGAGCAAACACTCATGTCCTCCTGTTCTCCTCCTCTCCTCTCTGCATGTCTTTGACAGTCATGAGTTTGATTTGTTATGCATAATCTATCCACGCTGGGATTTGTACAGTTCTCACAAGTGAAAAGCAAAACATTATCTTGACTCAACCTGCACAAACACTACTGTATGTTGGTTGTTTTCCAGCTGCAGCCAAAGACATAAGGTTAAAAAAGGGATGTTTGTCATTTGAAAAAAGCAGGATAGAAAAATACTTGGATAAAAATAGAAAATTCTTTGGTTGCCCCCTTTGCTATTTTTTCTCTAAAACACGGTGGAGTTTGAAGAGATTTCCCGTGAGTGACTCATTGCTTTCTGTGAACTTGCTCCAGGCAGGTCATTTTTTATTAAAGCCAGCTGAAGCCAAGTTCTTAGGTTTTCAGACACCCTATCGACATGTCCGTGTTGAACATTACCCAATCAATACTGCTGCAATTTTCTTGACCACCCATTACAACAGGAGTCAATTTGCCTTATAGAAATATCAAGGGGGATTCGTTTTTTCTTCTTCTTTCGTTCGAGGCTAAGCTACTACACAACTGGCTGAATATTGGCTCTTTTGTTTTCCATCTAGCCTGGAGGATTCATCCTAATATGCTGTCTCAGGTCTATGGCAATGCCAAAGGCTTGAATAACTTAGTATCTTCAAAAGCCTGATCACTGTCACCTAGCAGGGGACTTACGGAAAATAATCTTTGCTCGAGATCTTGTAACTGAACATTTCAGAAGGGAAAAGATGTGAGACTTGCAGCAGAGGCTGCAATCAAGATGACGCCATGTCATGAGAACTGCAAAACTCATGCTTCATCCATTCAGCCATGTTTACTGCCTAAATGTAATATTACTGCCAATAAGGATCACAAATCTGATTAATGTTAAACAAATGACACCAAAGCTTCGATCCAAAATGCATCTATGTCAGCCATAGACGTAGATGTTGTAGTTATCTAATTTTTGTACTCTCTTTGATTTTGTAAGAGTAGAGGTCACCCTCCAGCTACTTTTGGAATCAAATCCCTCATATGTTTATATTTCATCATGTCCCAAATCTGAAGCTTGTACAAGTTGTCCTCCAGGATCAAACAAGCGCACCATGAAATTAGACATGAAGGTTGTTTTAAAATATCTAACTTTTATGTAGAGTATATATAGAGTATAGAATTTTTTGATATTTTGTTGCGCCTGTCTGTTGGTGTTTGTCTATACATACTGAGTGGAGAGGAGTACACATAATGGTTTACACAAGCCAACGCTTGCCAATTACCTTAATCAAATTTCACACCACACAGAAGGATTCACTGTGCCCGGATCAGATAGCAAACATAAGTTGATTAAAATACATGTTTGCTAAAAGACTGGAGAGAAAGAAAATCAACACAGACTCAGATGAAAAAACTGACAGCTTAAAGTAAGGATTCAGAAAGTAAATGAGTAACATCTGAAAAACTGTGAGTGCTACTGTGTTGTAACAGACAGATTTATGTGTTTCCGTGTTCAATATACAAGAAAATAGTCTCTGGTTGGTTCATCCAAATCTTAAACATTTTCTCACTTGCCTCCAGTCAAATTGTGCAATGCAGTTACCTTTATGTGCCAAAGGGGTTGAGATATTTTCGTTAAATGTTAATAAGTCATAAATAAAGGGTCATAAATCTGCAATAAAGGTCAGTGGGTCTAACTTTGTAAAAAACCATCAATCCTGCGGAACAAATGTTAATAAAGTCATTAATAAAGAGTCCCGATTATCAAGAAGTCGACAGCCAGAGCTAGTAAGTCATGTACAATCATAAATGCAAATGCAATTATAAAAGTAGGTATTAAACTGTACATTTTATCTTTTATAGGCTATATATATATATATATAGTTATATATATTTATATATTTGTTCTTAATATATGTTGTTTGTATATTTGTTCTTAATATATGTTCTGGAGTTTGTAATGAAAATAATTTCCCCCTGGGATTATTTCTGATTCTGATTCTGTTATTTGGACTATTGTCAAGGGGTGGTGATTGCTTTTTTGTGTCATTGTTTTATCAATTGCAAGGCCATTACTTTTAAGTTCATTGGGGTTTGCCCACTGCGGTGCAGATAGGAATAAAAACATAATACCAAAACAGTGTTTTCTGATAGATAGATATGTTTAGAAATGAAATGTGTCTCCATTTCCCCCTTCCTCTCTTTTCAGGAGGAAATTGTGGCAGCACAGGCTGATCTTGCTGTGCATGGTAGGCATCATCTCCTTCCTCCACTACTTCGAGGCCCTCCGCTACATCTCCCTGCTGCGTGAGCTCTCCTCCCCCTACCTCAACATCAAGTCCTTCATCATTGCCTCCGCCTTCCTCTCGAGGGAGAAAGGTGTTGCCGCCATACCGCACAGCCCCACCTCCGTGCCGGGTCCTGTGGGAGAAGGAGGACGGATGACTCTGGGGATTGGGGGGGTCGTGGTTCAAGGTGCTGGAACTGTTGGCAGCGCAGGGCTGGATATTAGATTGAGGGAGAAGTCGGTGCCCACCCCCCCTTGGGCTAAACGAGAGGAAAATCAGCAGGGAGACACTGTGAATGAGGTGAGATTAGTAAACTTTGACTATAAAATTAGCCAGAAAAATATCAGCAATACAACAACCCTGCAATAAATACTACTAAAATATTGTCAGTATGTTGACTAATACTGTATGATTTTAAAGTGGTATATTGTTTAATTTTCCCCTCCTTAGGACTTTGTCTCAGTTGTATGATGATACAGTAAAGGCTTATAACAGCCTATAGCAAGACTGAATATATGAGTAGTGTGACATTCTTTTGGTAGACTTGCATTGAGGTCATTCTAAAACCGGATTAATAAGCTGATATCTAAACCTGCAAACAAGCTCTCTGTTAAAAGTCACAACTTTTGCAGTGTGTAGAGCTTTTATCTTCACATAGTTCAAGTGGATGGTGGGTTAAAGTTGCCCCGTGCTCATGTCAAGATGCTTTGATTTAGTGGAGGGAAAATATGTGATTCCAGAAAGCTCAAGGGCAAGACATTGCTGATCCATATAAATTCTGTGTAAACGCCCTGGAGATCAGCAGAAACTGAGAAGTCTGCTTTTCCATTATACTACATCTTTTGCTATTTGTGCATATCAAGGAAAATTTTACTCTCTCTGGTCAGAAGAATCCATTTGCTACTCCTTAAGCCTCTAAATTATGAATAACACTCTCATAGACTAAGTTAGATAAATCGTCTCGGTTATCTTTCTTTTTTTTGTCTCTTTTTCCATTGTGCACAAGTTAAGTATTGAGTATATTAATCTCCCTAAACAGATAATGTTGTGTCCAGGATTTCTGTCACTCGAGTCCTTTGTGATTATGTTAAACTTGCTTACTGTTACTTATCTGCCACCTGCCACCCACTCGTGATGTATGTCATTTTATTTAAGGAATCTTTGTTTGCTGGGAAAAGATTAACTACAAATTAGTATTTGATTGAACAACTTGTTAGAAAACAACAAAAATATAGTTTTGTAAGTATGTATTTTAGAATTACAGGAGAAAATGTAAACAAGAAAAAAAAAAAGAATATAAACAACCTTATTCTAATGTAATATTACAGACAGCCTGTGGGACTAAGAAAACGTCTGTGTAATCACTCGTCAGAGGTCATATGCTTATATAATTGGCACAAAAAGAAGTAAATGCTTTCATCCTAGAGTTGTAATTGATACACACTTTTAGACAGTAGGGAGCCTGATCACAATGACAAACATTGGCTCAGTCCATGGTATAGTAAATATATCCTAAATTCTTTGCACAAAGAACTACAATACAACTTGTACTTGAGTATTCAGAAAAAAAAGGGAACTATAATTTTCAAAAGTTTCTAATTTCATGGGCCATAATGTGGGTATGTAATTTGTATTATCCTGAATATAATGTTTAAATGTGATATTTTTCTTTCACACCTTGCTTTAAATTATTCTCCATTTGGCTATTGGTTGATTATTGGCATTGAATACATCTGCAATCTGTGCATTGCATATATTAAACATGTTTTGAACAGGAGAGTTTGTGGGTGCTTGGGATGGGTTACAAACTTGAATTACCTTCAGTTGTCAGAATAGAAAATTTGGTATAAACTAGACAAAATAAATGTGTGCTGTCTCCATCCTTTCAGCTTTCAAATTTCTCTCAAGGTTCCAAGAGCACGTCTCACAGTTTCAAAGCAACTTGAACAAAACAAAACAGCATCTTATAAACATTTTTAAATGAGAACTTTTATGCAAACCATTGAAAGTAAGAAACTTTTTTAGAAGTATTGAAGTTGCTTTAATACACTTCTCTTTTCTTTGTATTTCTTTCCAGAAAAGAGCAGAAGACCAGTTGAAGCCACAGAACCTGAGCCACCCAGCCCAACCTGCTGGGCCTGACCTCCCAGAGGTCCCATTGGTGGGAAAACAGGTGGTGTTACGCAATGACACATTTCCAGACCCCTTAAAATCTATGGGGGACCTCCACACCCGCACTCACCGGCTTGAAGATGACAAAACCCCTTACTTTGTCCGAACCAAAGCTGGAGCCCTTTGTTTCAGGCAGGGGACAGAAGTAGCTACCCCAAATGAGTACTCTGGGAAATCCAAGGGTTTTGTGGCTAATGGAGCTGGGGCTGCTGGGCAACAGAAACCTCTGGCGGTCCAGCAGCAGCCCTCCATAGCTCCAGAAGTCAAGTGTGTGTGCCGGCCGGGATGGCACGGACCTTACTGTGGGGTTCCCACCACAGTGTATCACTCCAATCTGCCTACCAAGGAGCGGCTGATGCCCAGAAAGACCCCACGGAGGGTCATCAATGCCATCAACATAAACCACGAGTTTGACCTGCTGCAAATACGCTTTCGTGAGCTCGCCCCAGCCGTTGATCTGTTCCTGGTTTGTGAATCCAACTTTACTGCCTATGGAGAGAAACGCCCCCTGACGTAAGAAACCACTCTTTGGACTGGTGTGTGTGTGGAGATTATACAAGCCATGCCCTTATGGCCCTTATGCTAAAGTGTATTTAAGCAAAATGTGTAACTCAACTGAGCTGCAGTGTGGCCATCAGTAGATGAGTCTTTGTGGCTGACAGTGTAGGCTTGTAAAAAGGAATGCATGCTCAGCAACCTTTAAACTGGACTAAAGAGGTTAAAGAGTATGACACAATGATGGGATATATATAGTTTATAAAACCCTGGTCATGTCAAGTGAAGTCTAAAAGATATATAGAATAATTTATTTTAAGTCGCTGGCAGCTCATAATAGCAGCTACATTTAGTAAACAACCTCTTTTGCTATGCATTTCAACAGGTTAATTGAGTTGTTCCTCCAGTGTATGGACAGTGGGTTTTCTTACCGAAAGGCATTATTTTTCAAACAAGGACCTTTGTTACCAGTTTCTTTATTGGATTCAAAAATTCACTAAATGGAATTTGTCATTTCCCCAGTTTCCTGCGGCTCCTCCTCAATGGTACATACGACTACATACGTCACAAAATCCTCTACGTGTTCCTCGACCACTTCCCAGAAGGTGGTCGACAGGATGGCTGGATCACTGATGACTACTTGCGTACCTTCCTGACACACAATGGGATGTCCAGGGTTGTAGGCGCAAGATCGGATGACGTCTTTGTT